GAAATGCAAATACGTTTTCCGATCTAAGCGCTTTATTGCAAGGAAACATCCAGATTTTCTGGATGCTGAACAACTGTTGATACCAACAACAACAAAAGAACCGCAAAACTTTGTAGCGTGTCAACAAAATGGTGCGTGAACCGTTCAAATTCCGGGATAAAAAGCTTGTGGTAAGGAAGCCCCTTGAATGTGTCCCTTTGCTTGAGTGAAAAGGTTTGCTTGAGGAGGAGGGACGAAGGCGAAGACATTCGAGCTTCCGGAACTCGAACTTGAGCCGCCTAAAATGAGAATTTAATGAATGACGAGGATGTAATTATTATTCATGGTCTCCGGAAGAGCTCACCTTTCTTCTTCTTCTTGCCAGACTTCTTTTTCTTGCCATGCTTATTGTGCTTCTTCTTGGACGATTTCTTACCGTGTTTGGAGGATTTCGCGCCCTTCTTTTTCTTGTGTGAGCCCTTTTTGTGAGACTTCTTCTTTTTGTGTGAACTACCTTTCTTGCCGGACTGTGGAAGAAAGTTAAGGTCTCGAATATCTGTATTGTGTGCTATGAAACTGTGGGAACTCACCTTTTTCTTGGATTGTTTATGCTTTTTGCCCTTCTTGCCCTTGGAATATTTCTTTGCAGCCTTCTTCTTCTTGTGGTGCTTCTTCTTCTTCTTCTTGTCGTAGTACTTTTTGACATGGCCGGATTCTTTCTTTTTGTATACCTTCTTGAAGCCCTGTGGTAATGAGGAAAAAATTCATTAGAACGAGCTGCAAGGTTTATACTTCACCAAGCATGCTTGCCTTCTTCTTGTGTCCCTTCTTATGCATGCCCTTGGATCCCTTTTTGGAAGATTTCTTTTTCTTGTGTCCCTTCTTCTTCTTGCCGTATTTCTTGGCGGATTTTTTGTGGGATTTCTTCTTCTTACTGTGTTTCTTCTTCTTTCCGGACTTCTTCTTCTTGGCGTGTTTTCCATGCTTTTTCTTCTTGTGACCCTTCTTTTTCTTGTGGCTTTTCTTCTTCTTGTGGCCGCCTTTTTTCTTGTGAGATTTCTTCTTCTTGTAGCCCTTGGAGTGCCCTTTGTGGAGAAAGAGGAAATTTTCATAACTCTATCAGGAGAGAAATATATACTGCGAGCTTCGTAGAGAGAGAACCCCTTGAAACTTTTCGATAATTCGTTATTGCCCTTTGAACTTTTCATACGGCGCAAGCATTCGTTGTTCTACCGCACCTCCAGCAGATGCGACGAGATCGAAATGCTGTCCAGCGGCAGGCAAAAGAGTCGCTTCGTGAAGAACTGAAGCATCAGTGTTGAGGTCTTGTTCTACCAATTCCGAACCTTTCCTTACTACATCGGGGATATTTGATATAGCCGGGTTTCCAGCTTCCTCCGGATGTTGCCCTGGGTCTCCGCGGAAGCGGTCACTCAGTTCTGAGGCTGAAGCAACCGTAGCCGCGATGACCAAAAGAAAGGCAAGCGACTGGAACAAAAGGAAAAATGAGTTGACGAGAAGTTATCCACTTGTGTTGATAATTGAATATGAGAAAAAAGGAACCAAGAACAAGCAATTGAAGTACAGTATATGTGTGAAGGAAGATAGATACTCTAGAAGTAGGACAGACCCAAAATGTGTTGAGACTACCGGGTCTATGACTAAATAGAATAATTTTCCTTATCATGGAAATAATTGCTAAAGC